GACCAGTTGGGCTGAGAGACAGAGAGAGAGAGAGAGAGTAAGAGAGAGAGAGGTAGAGACAGAGACAGAGACAGACAACAACAACTATACTAATAGTAGTGACTGATGATAATGAACAATGGCTCTAGTACTCTAGTAGAAGTTGGAGTTACCTGTGCTTGTGGCTGAAGACTGGTGAGGGAGCTTGAGTGGTTCATCAGAGCCTGGAAAGTACTGGAAGATCCAAACACACCAACACCAACTTTTACAAAGAGCTCATTACAGTTTGATCTGGACCATAAAGCCGTATTAGAAGGAAAAACATATCCAAACGTGTTTGTGTTAACAAAACATTAGCACATTAAGGGAACAGTTCAACATTTTGGGTAACATTGTTGGTGATGAGAATATCAATTTGACTCTCATGCCTATGTGTACAGAGCAGAGCAAGAATATCCAGTTGAAGGAAGATGAACTTCCAAACATGGTTGTTTAGCCAGTCATCAACTCTGAGTTGGCTTAATGAGACGGTTTGACCTTAGTTGAGTTTGTTAGGTTCATTGAAGACAGACTCACTATGAGCCCTACTTTCGGTCCAAAGCTTCAAAAATATACCCACCGACATCTCTAAAGCTAATTCTTATCTTATGTTTAGTTTGTTCTGTACCCAAACAGAAAGTGTGATTGAACTATACCTTCATGAGATTGCTCATGGTGTTCTTGACTTCCTCCATTGACGGTCTCTGGCTGGGTTCTTTGTCCCAGCAGCGGGTCATCAGAGTCTCTATGGGCTCTGGAAGGTCTTTGATGAGAGGAGGCCTTGTACCTGCGTCACAGTAGTAAACAGTGAGTCTGGAATGCCTAAATGTGATAAGCTTTGCGTGCTTATGATCACTGCAGGGAAGAAACAACAGTTAGTCTGCAGCTCTATGAGGCTTTCAGCTCATTCTTTTGTTTTACTGAACTATGGTCAACTTTAAACCGCTCTCACTGAACCCCTCATAGTAAAACAAGAGAGCTGCTCTCACCTTAGAAACAGCACAATCCAATCAGCATCCAATCAGTTGACACAAACTGATTGGATGCTACCTGCCCAGTGTCAACGAGACAGAGAGACACAGTGACACAGTAAACTAGTGTGGGGAAGTATCAGGCATTTTTCAACATCCACCCACCCGGAATTGCATTCATTTAGGCTGCTTGACCTATTGGTGAAACACTCTTTTCCATGTAGAAATAACAAAAAATGATTGACCACTGATTTTGACCCTTCTTAAGTACCACCTTTTTTCCTCTATCAGGGTTCCCACTCTTTTTAAGAAATAATTTTCCAGGAGTTTTCTTGACAATGCAGAACAGCACTTGTTCACAAATAGTCATATCATTTACCGGTATAGTCCTAGTACAGACCCATTGTTCCCAGTTTTATTCCTCCTTTTTTATTGATGCAATTGCATGATGTTTATGGGACACTCTGGGTTAGCTTGCTTTTCATTTTTCTCAGCACAGCCGATTTTTCTGCAGCGTCTCCAGTGATTTGGCTACAGTTCACTACAGTTTTCCTCTAACCTAGGTTTAAGCAGTCGATCTGAGTGAGGAGCTAAAATACAAGGTCAACATAAAAGGAACAAAACAAAATGAAAAAGCACATCACCAAAGCAGCTTGTACAGTTGTAACTGGTGCAGGATTTGCTCACCTCTGTGGACGGCCCACATTATACAAAACGCAGAGCCTCCAATCTCATCAAAGGGTTTCTTGCGTGTGATGACCTCCCACAGGATGATACCCCAACTGAACACGTCGCACTTTTCACTGTAGTTGCTGCCTGAGGAAGACACACGTTTAAGTTATTTTTATTGTATTCAGGACTAAAAAAAATCACAACTAGCAAAATGCAGGTACAAGTCAGTACCTTGGAAGCTAATCACAACAATGGTCACATATTTTTGAAACAGCTGACTAAAATAAGAGAGAATGGTCCACATGACCATACTGTATGTGCAGTTACTGACTGTGCAACACAAGAAAATCTGCACAATACAACTAAAATGAACAAACATCTATCACTTTTGTAGGTAGCCCAGATTTGTTTTATTTGCATGGTTTACGTAGTGGATTTGGCTTTGTTTACATTCATATCCGTTTTTTGCTGTTAGTAGTTTTAGTTTGCAAAGTAGAGAAAGAGTTTGAGGCTCACCTTCAAACACCTCTGGTGCCATCCAGGCGGCACTGCCTTTATTGTTGGTCATGTAGGTCTGAATATCACAAGCTGTTCCAAAGTCACATATCTTCAGCACGGTACCACGAGCCACGAGCAGGAGACTGAAACACGACAGTGGACAGAGATTAGAGACTTTTCATTCACAAATATATTTTACTGATGAAGGCACTAGATGAAAAGTCACAGGACTCTTCTAATGAATCCTCTAGGGATCATCTAATTATTATACATATTTACATTTAAAGCAGCTTTTAAACCTTCTTGTGACTTGTGATCGTCAATGATGGAATCAATCAATAGATCAAGTGACAAAAACACTCCTCAAAATCACTCATAGCTAGCACATACCTAGCAGTGAGTTCTTACAAAAACTGTTTGATCATGAAGAGTCTTACTTTGGTGGTTTAAGGTCCCGGTGAATTAAGGCCTTTGGCTTCATAGAGTGCAGATAGGCTACTCCCTGTGCGCACTGCAGACACCAGCTCATGGCATGGGATGCTGTGTAGTGGGGCTGCGGGTCTGCACTGTGCAACACTATAAGTGACATACAAAAAGAGAAGCAGAGAATGAGATAATACTGTATGATCATATATTGTATATATAATAATTTATTACAAAATCATAATAAATAATAAAAATTATTTTATTATCCTGTGATCATGACATCCAGTCAATGTGAATCAACTATATTTTTTACAGACATAATATTACTTACGGTTATATAAAGATCCACATTCTGCATACTCCATGACCAGACAGACCTGAGAAAACAAATGATGTTACCTTAGCAGTGAAAGCATGACAGTGAGGCATCGGCCGTATGTCCGCCTGTAAATATAGCTACAATCTGCAACTCCCTGACAACATGTTCATACTAAAAACATGATGATGTACTAAAATAATGCAGTTGTTAACCCACAAAGTGTTTATTGATGTTACCGTGTTTTACCCACACACTCCAGAATATTCTGCTCTTATACAACCACTGCAAAAAATATAACTTTTTCCATGTGTATGTTGTAGAAAGAACAGGGCATTATAAATCCTATGCTAAATTAACTCACGACTTTTATTTTGAAGGCTACATGTTAACACTTCCGGCATTGTAATATTGTGTCAGTGATATATTTTTATGTGAGTACATTATATTTCCATGCAGAGTTGGCACACCTCAGAGTGAGAGTACTGAGCTTTAACTTTTGAATACAAAACAGTCCATCTCTGCATCTCTACTGAAGGCTAACAGACACCACATGCTTCAGAGAAAAAGGCAGTCCTTCCCTCTCTGACCTTGCTGTCAACCGAGGTGATGCCTGATGGCATTGTGGAGGGACAAACATTTCAATGAAACAAATCTTATCTAAAACCCTGTTGATGAGCTCTGAAATTCATTCATTTGTCCTTCAACACACACATCATAGAGAAGGGCCCTGGTATGTTCATAATACAGGAGTAATCAGCGCCACAGTTCTGAGTGCTGTATACTTACTGGATTGTCACAGGAGCCATACAGCTTAACAATGTTGGGGTGATTGACCCTGGAGAGCTGGCGAAGCTGTACACAAACACAACACACATATTACCATAAATATATCCATCTATATATTCATCTTTCTGTCTGTTTGTATTACATTATATATATATATATATATATATGTCTGCATACACTGGACTTGTGTTATGGGTGTTATGTAATGTAACCTGTATCCAAAGACCAAGCTCCAGTATTTGTGATAAAACACCAGTATACAAAAGCAACACTTCCTGTTTAATGTGTGTGTGGCTCGTAGTGCGTTCAAGTGTCAGTATAAAGCTGTCAGTTACTCAAGTTTTAAAGGTATAGCAGAATCTAAATTTGTAAGATAAAAAAATATTTCACATTATCATCTCATAGGGCCTAACAATAGGTCTAATGAAGCAAACAAACAATACGCAAACATGTCATCTTTCACTAAACAAGCCACTGTTCATCAGCTGACTTTCACATCTTTAAAGTCCTACTGCACCAGTATCAGCTTCACAATCAGAGCAGCCTACACCAAAAACAGGAAATGCACTGAGAACAACAAAACAACAAACCTCAACAAGGAAAGCGTTCCTTTCATTCTCACTCTCAATGGTCTTGATTGCTACGTCCTTTCCTTTCCACACGGCCTTAAAGACAACTCCAAATGTCCCTCTGCCAACAGCCTGAAGAGACACACAATATAATACTGAGTGGTTGAAGAAACTCATTACATTTACTGTTGTTATTGTAACAAAGTCATACTTTGTTGAGTATTATTTTTCAATCTGTAATTTTACCTGTATTTTATATCTCAAGTATTGTACTTTTATATACTATATACTATTTATACTACATTGCAAGTTTCGGAGTACAGCGTAAAAACAACCATCACATTAAAAAGTCCTGATAAACTGTGTGAGAA